ACCCTATCTATGCATATATATAGCCTGAGAGAACTCCCAAGACGAGGAATAATGACTCGGTTTGAGTGAGGTAGTGGGCTTTTCCCTCTTCCACTCACCTCGATACAAACGCCACCCCCGGCTAGTTTGCCAGATTGAAGCTACGGTCACACGAGATTTGCGACAAATGTTTGTGATCTTAGCATTTCTCGTCTACTTGGTGCACGTTATGCAAGGAATTGCATAGATTGTCCAATTTTGACATATCTGCCCTTTATGCCACCGATCAGACTGCCCTTTGGGCGTCTAGAAGGGTCGCTAAGGGTGATGGAAGGCCTAGAAGACTGCCCCATGCATCCTCCCCATTCCCCATCCAGAGAGCAGGTTTCAGTGATACCCTCTCCCGAGTCTCATCAGCACCCCCCAACCGGCGTTAGCTCCACTCCCAATACAGAATGTGCATTTGACAACTCCATCATACAAACTTGTATGGTAAACCAAGCCTCTCCTTCAATTCAAATTCTGTAGCAGGAACGATGTCCATTGTTGTTGTAGGTGCGAACTTCAAGGGCATATTGATGCCTTGTTGTTGGGACTTTCATTTCGTATCAAAGTGCATGAAGAAGATATTAGAAGGTCGATCTCACCAGAAGAGGACGGATGAATCGCATTGTACTGCAGCCGTTTCATACGACGTTCAGATTGACGCAGTCCACGAGACCTTCTCTCTCGTTTCGGGTGAAAACGGACTGAGCTTTCGTCCATAATTCGATGAACATCATCAGCAATTGGACTCATTCTTGTAAGATTCACAAGTTAACACTAAGACAAGAATACTATCCGGCTCTATCTTACCTCTTATATAGTCTCATTTAAGCAAAAAATAATTTAAAAACAACATCATCTTGCTCCCATTCCGGCATGCATCCTCACCGTAAAAGAGTCATGGGGACTGATTGCCTCCAAATATATTCATTCTGTACATATACAAGGTTATATATAAAGAAAAGCTTGGCTTCGAATATTCTCTTAATGGGTCAGTGTAATTCGATTTTTCATTTCATAAAGTATGCTTTCTTGATCTGAAAATATCTCTCAAATGACAGACGAAAACTTAACACCGGTTCTTCACGGCGACAAAACAATGAGCCGACGACTTTTTGGCATTATCCGACAGTCTCGAAGTATAAGAGCTTAGTCAGCTCGAGTAGCTTAATGTGTCTGTTATTATGCCTCACGATGACATTGGAATTTCACTTAGTTTTGATTCTCGAAAGGTGTTCTCATCACGACTGGACTGGCTTTCGTGGTAAGGTGTGTCGCATCGATGCTCACAACCTGGTTTCGAGTTCTGTTGGGGGTGCTGATAAGGCGACGAGGCAAGGTCGGGGGCTAAAGGAGATGATGAGGCCTCTTCATACTTTTGTTAAAAAAACACTCATATCTGTTGAGCTTACTTCCATTTCGAGTAAAAGTGTTTGGTGAAGAAGTTCGAAGGTCGATTCCACCAAAAGACAACGGCGGATTTCTCTTGACCAGCTGTCAATTGGCTTTAACGGAACATTCATGGGGACGCTGTTTCCGAGGTTATCTCCTTCGATTCCGATGAAAAGGTGCTAAGCAGGGAGGGTATCATCGTCACAACCAAATTTAAACTAACGAGTCCAGAAACTTGGTTGTGACGATGATACCTTGTTCTGATGATGTTCGTCATATGACGAACGAGAGATTAGCACCTTTTCACCGGAATCGAAGGCGATTACCTCGGAAACAGTTCCAGTAAAGCCAATCGACAGCTGGTCAAGAGGAATCCGCCGACGTCTTCTGGTGGAATCGACTTTGGAATCTCTTCTCTAAACACA